CTAGCCTTTTATTACTTTTAGTTTATAGCTAGCATTTTGGTACCTTTGACTTTTAGCTGGCCTTTTATTACTTTTAGTTTATAGCTAGCATTTTGGTACTTTTAGCTATCCTTTTGGTACTTTTGTCTTTTGGTTACCCTTATTTGCTGAGTTTTGCTACTTTTAGATTCTTGCTAGCCATTTGTTACATTTTAGTAGCTTTTTGCTTGTTTCTTAATCTTTAGCATTTTGCTACTTTTATTTTCTAGCTAGCCTTTTGATGCTTTTAGCTTTTTGCGACAGTTTTCAGAAAGCAATATTTTTCTTCTTTAAATTACTTAAATTCATTTTTTCTACTACTTTTTTTTTACATTCATCAGTCCTTTTGTTATTACACATTCAGATAACCTTTTACTACTTTGGCATCTAGCTAGCCGTTTGATATTTTGGCTAGCATTATGATACTTTTAGCTACAGTTGCAGCTTTAAGAAAGAGATTAGCCTCTTAGCTTTCAGCTACTGCTCTGCTACTTTTAGTTTTTAGATACCATTTTGATACATTTAGCTTATTTTGCTAAATCCTCTTTTTTTTAAATATATTGTTTATGCTGTTTTGATTTAGATGGTGACATTGTTACACTGTCACCATCTGAGCTAAAGAACAACTCCACTTTAAATCAGGCCATAATTCTGTGTTATTTTATTTTATTTTTTATAAAGGTGACATGGCATTAAAACACCCCCATTACTATCTTTTTTAAATATTTGTCCTGTGTCTCATCATGCTGGGATTGAAATAAAACACAAATTATACATTACAAAATGCTGTTCATTCAGGAATGGTGTACTATGACTTTTAGTAGCTGGAGAACAGGACAAAAATTAGAAATAAAATTAAAAGAAAGAAAGACAAGTTGGCGTTTGTCAAAACAAATGAGACAAATCAGACGTCCAGGCAAATTTTAAGTCATTTTCTTAAAAATATTCTGAAGTTTCTGCTTTTAACACAAAACAGGGAGATCATCACGACGTGAAAATGGAGCGTACACGCTGAATGACATTTTTAAAATTTGCTGAAAGTTTTTGTCTGAAGTAGCTAAAACTGACAAAATTATAATGGAACAGAGGCTAAAATTAGCAGAACACAAGCTAAAAGCTAAAAGCAGCAGAACAACTAAAATGAGCAGAAAACTAGACAGAATGAACACTCAAGTTGAAATAAGCACCACAATAGCTAAATGCTAAAATTGGCACAACAGTAGCTGAAATTGAAACTTATCTAAACTGTAGCTAAGTGCTAATGTAGCCTGGGAAAGTCGGTTGCTTCACAGTGCACAATTACTGTTTTTTTTATATTTTATTTTGCATCCCTTTATTGTTTGCAAGAGACAAAACAACAAAATAATAAATAAAGAACGCAGTAATTTGCTCTTTTCTTCGTTCTTATTCCTCAAATAACCGTGCAAAAGTCTTAACAGTTCTCTTTACAGTGTGTTTGTGGCAAATAAACCCAGATTTAATCTGCACAAGAAAATCTGCCATCTTGAAAAATAAAAATAAATTAAATAAATTATGGCAGTGAGTTATTCCAAAGAGTTTCCTAAAGTTGTTAAACTAAAGTTCACAATGGACACCAGGGAATATGGCAGCCACACAACACACAGGCCTTCTGCACCATCCATTACAGCAACGCACAATCTGGTTCAATTACCAACTGGTTAACACTTAAATGTTATTATACAAACATAGTTTAACAACTTGTGTGGACATACCATTATCACAAGAAACATTTTCCTACTCATGGATTTTCAGTCCAGTTCCAGCACAAACCAGGAAGAACCAAAATAAAAAATAAAAAAACAACTCTTGATATTGACCAGTGCAACACTGCCCCCTAGTGACTAAACCTCATAACTACACCAAACATTGCATTCTATTGCTTTGAGCACATTACACTGTGAATAGATCAACATACACCACAAGTAACACTGTTTACATGCATTTGTTACAAAAACAAAGGAACAAACATCTTTTTAATTCACTTGTAAATATTTACAAGATTAATACTAATATAAGTTTATCACTTAAACGTCAAATGGTAGGCAAGAGCCTTAATGGCAAATATGCTAAAGTAGATTACAAAAGAGAAGAAGAACGTGCCATGATTTTGTAAATAATAGTAAAATTTTATAAATAGGATAAAAGTAAAAAAAAATCCAGCCGACCGTTAATTAAAAGCTGAACTAACTTAAATAAAAGTCAGACAGTGACAAATCACAAGTCCAATACGAACAGAACCAAAGTAAAGGCCTAGGATTTGTTGAAGGCATGCTTAACACTCGCTGACCTTTATAGTTTATCATTTTTAGTCGTAAATTAATTTATGCACGTCATGCGACACATGCGCCTTCAGGACCACAGTAAGTACCGTCTGTTGGAACCGCAGCTACTTTGTCTTTTCTTGTCCAGTTGGTGAGTAAACCAACCAAACTGTTCTCTCAGGAGCGGCAGACGGTCTCTTAGCGAGCGTGCGTGACCTTTGACCTTGCTGAAAGGTTTGGATCGACTACATCTGCTCAGAGGCTCGACGGTTTGACAGCCCACAGTGCTGACACATGCTAACCAGGCCCTGTGTGTGTGTGTGTGTGTGTGTGTAGGCGTTTCAGAGGCAGGTGGAGACCGACATCAGGAGTTGCTGTTTGACAGAAATCAGGCAGACCGAGGAGAAATACGCAGAGACCCTGGAGTCTATAGAGAAGGTATGGTTGTCCTCCAGAGGACATTAAACCGGCTGAGACGTTTCATCTGATATACATCATGTTCTGGATTCGGAAAAGTTGCAAACATTCCCATAAACGTAAACCCAGAAACACGAGGCGGGATGATGTTACAGTCCATGCTGTACCCAGAAGAGTTTGCATAACGAAGAAAACAGCTGTAAAAGTCGCCCCTGTGAGACCAAAACTCCAGCTTCAAACAGACGTTTCCCTTTCGACGGTTTCTGAAACGTCCCAGAAAAACATTGTTCAAAATTCAAACGGATCTCAAAACGCTGGACTTTACAGGTCAAGTCAGATTTATTTACATTATGTAGCACATTTAAACAGAAACTGTTACCAAAGTGCTTAATATAAAAGGTCACAGCATCAAATAAAAAGTAACAAGATATATTTACAGCACATGGAATAAACATATAAAACATCATTAGAAACAGTGAAATACTAACTCAGATCACCTTGTGTCAAATGTCAAGGAAAAGTAACAAAAAAGCATCAACTCGGTGAGAAAGAATGAAATACTAAACCAGATCTGATGACCGTGTGTTAAATGGGAACAAAACAAAAAGCATAAACATGATCAGAATTAAAGAAAAATAAATTTTTCATTCAAACTTTATTTATGCAGGTTAATCCCATTGAGCCTCGGGGACTCGTGTACAAGAGAGACCTGATTTTAACAAAGAGTGATGACAACGACAACAATAAACAATCATAAAAGAGGCATACACATGAATTTTTTTGTTTTTGAACTTGCATTTTGTTGTTTTATTTTTGCACAATCCCAGTTTTAGTTTCACAATCAAAGGTGATGTCACACCGTAGCTTTTAAGCCGTCTAAAATGTTCAGATCGTTTCTCTTTTCTCCCACAACTCTTTTTTTTTGGTAAAGTATTCCAATTATCAGAGACCAACCGATATGGAAAAGTTGGCTATCGCCGATACAAAATTAGGAGAGGGCAGGCTAATGCCCTTAAGTGATTTATTGGATGAATTTTTTTTAGCTTTATCCACCCCCATGAATCTAAGGAAAGAGCTACTTTTAAACCTGTTTTAACAAACATTAAACAGTTACGTCTTTTGCAAGTAGAGACACGACTCAACAGCATTTTAGGGGTGAAAATTAAGTGTTTATATCAGCGCACATTGGGACAATTATCACCGATACGATATTTCACCAAACACCTATATCGGCCTAAAATATCGTTACTACCGATATGTCGGCGGGCTCTACAAATTATACGTCAAAACATCAGTATTTGCATCTTCTTTCACTTGGTGTGACCCTCATCGCTGTAGGGCCGACGGTTTTCCTTGGAGTTCCACCAGAATGCAGACAGCGCACAGCCAAGCTTCCACAGGTTCAGCTACATTTAAGCTCAAACTGTACACTTCCTGGAAGTGGAGGCGTTCTTTAACTTGTTATATCTCCTTTGTAAAACACTTTAAACACATAAAGATCCCCACGTGTGCCCGTCAGAGTCTTCTGTTGCTTACAGCTCTAGAAACTTTCAGATCTGACACGTGGTTTTCCCACAGCGCCTTATTTTCAGTCGGCGTTTCTGGCTGCCTCTTTTTAACTTGGTGGTCAGAGAGTGACAAACACAGGTGTGAGGTTACCATGGTGACTTCAGAGTCACGAGGGTTCACATGTTTTTATGTATATTTTGTAGAGTCCGACTGATATATCGGCAAGGACGATATTTTTGGGCCGATATATCGATATACCAATATGTCGGTATCTGTATCGGTGACATCCAACAATGTTCAGTCAGGTCATCTGGACGGTTTCTTTTTTTGCTGAGACGTTTCGTCCTTCATCCAAATGACTTCTTCGATCAGAGGAGCCACCTACAAACAAAACTGATTCCCACAAATGGCATACTCCATAGTGGGAAAAAACCCTAACCTTTGCTTAGCACCAGCAAACTGATGTATCGTGACAATTGTCCCATTATGCCCCAATATAAGCACTTCTATTACCCCATAAACATAAATCTACCTGCTGTAGCTTTATGGTTTTTTAATCTTGGTTTCCTTTACCTTTTTTATTCAGTAAAAATCAAAACGTGTTTAGCATAAATTCTTACAACGCTGATCAAATTCCTTCAGAAACTTTCTAATAACTTTTTAATATGGTTGTTGTTTCCTAATTTAATTAAATTCATTTCCACAATCTGTGGATGAGGACCAAAGGTGGTGGAATATAAAAGTTTCCAGACAAGTTTTTTTTTTAATCTAAATGTTTTTTCACCTTAAAATCAACGTTTATCAGCGTTTTAAACAGTTTCTGACCAAAAATCAACCGTTGGGTGGATTTAATTCCACTATAAAAAGTTTACTGAAGCCGCTTGCTCCTCTTTAACACTTTAAAATACGAAACTAGTCTCGTTAAAAAGAAATGAGCTGAATTATGTTTTACGTTAGCTTTTAGTTTTGAAATTAGCCGCCGCTAAAGAATAATACCTAAAGCTGAAGAAAGCGCCTCAAAAGAAACTATTAACGGACCTCTTTCCTTCTGGAAGCTTTTCACCTGACTCTGCACTTTCACAACACTGCTGGAGGCCCAACTAAACCCCCTCCGGCTGCAGCGACTCTCCTTCCTCTGTGTCGGTCTACAAAAGGCCCTCGCCTGATTTCCCAGCGGAGGCGCCGTAGATGACTTCTGATACGAGGCGGACGGAGGGATTTAGTTTGTTGCTCGGTCTCTCTCCGCGGAGACGGAGAACCGACTTCGAGGCGGGCCTTTTCTCTGAGAGGAAATTATTAAATTGCAAACTCTGAAAATGAGATTATTGCGGCGACCCAGACGGTCCTGGTTGTTTCTGCTTACCGCTGCTCTTTGCGGCTCGGCGCCAAATGACTTTCCCACTCTCTCACTGCAGAAAGCAGCTCCGTTCCCTCAACGTCTCCTTTTGTTCCCTCCTCCTGCAGCACTTCATGACGCCACTCGCCATGTTTCTGTCTTCGGCTGAGATGGAGAAGGTGTTTGTGAATATTCCGGTAAGTCTTTAAGTGAGAAAATGATTTTATATGAAATATCAGATAATACTGAAATGAAACTCTAATCCCAAACACATATCATCAGCATCAGCAAACACCTAAAAATGGTTGTAACTTGGCCAGATTTATAGAGATTGAGCTAAAGTTTCAGCTGGTTGTAGCCGAGAGTCCTCTCTAACCCATACTCTGAGTGCTGACATGTTGCAAAAAATCTGGTAATTTTGCGTGAGCTTGTGCATGAAGATATTTTTCAAGTTTGACCAGATCGGTGTAAGCGTGGCTTAATTTGAGCCGGATCCTGCCAGAACAGGATCCAGGAACTCTCTCATGTTGACAAAATGTGTTCCGGTAACTGTTTGCTTGGATCCGGTAACTCTCAGGCTTACCAATAATAAAGTTATGAACAAATTTGACTGCTTGGAACGAATAAAACCTATATTGTTTATGTAAATGGAAAATAATTACATAAACACTCATTTTAAATACAACAGCCACTTACGAGCTGCCCCTTCAAGTAGCATTTCTGCTTCTACCCTTGAAAAAGTCTCTGCCCCTAAAAGTTCAGTCATGGGCTACATTAGGATGCTTGAGAGAAGTGGAGTATGCTCTAGTCACACAAGGAGGGCTGTTGGTCAGGCTACTCCTTGTTGCTCTCTATATTAGTTATTGAATCAAGTGTTTGCTTAAGTAGGTAAACGTAGATGTTTACAAACCCGTTAAAATACAAATGTACACCAGAATGCAGGAAATGACATCTACTTTATTCAAAATCCACCTCTGCTGTTTGCGATCCGGTGTAGTTTGGTTTTCAAATTAAGCACTGGGCGTAAGGAATGCTAGCCCTTTATTTGTCAACACAAACAACTCTCGGCTCATCAGTAACGATGTTGTTCACATTTACAATGTCTGAATGTTTCTGAATCATTCTCACGACTGAGATATGTTTTTCCTCCGTAAGTTTTCGGCTCGGAACTCCTTCCTCAATTTTTGCGCCATTTCCACAATTCATGTCTCAAAACGTTCGGCTCGTTTAGGACATTCCTGCTCTGACTGTTGGCATTTGTGCAGTTTTTACTTTTTTGAACCATTCAGCTTTGTCGGCCATGTTTTTCTCATTGACAGTGAATGTAGCTCTTTTCACATCTTTCAAACACTTCAGCTGTTTACAGTTTTTTACTGCTCATTGCAGCTTTTGTTCTGCTTCAATGCTGTTCAGCTGCTTTGTACAAATTTCAGCATCTTTGTGCTCATTTCTGCCTTTTTTTTTTTTTTTTTTTTTTTTAACTTTTTTTTTGCTCCTTTCAGCCTCTTCCTGCTGAATTGAGCTTTTTCTGTGTTTCAGCTAACCTTTGTAGTTATTTTTCTGCTAATTTTAGCTGTTTTTTTCTGCCTTTTGCACTTCTTTCTAATAATTTAAACTTTTTTTTTGTTCCTTTCAGTCTCTTTCTGCAAATTTCAGTTAAAAAACAACAACTTTTCAGCTACTTTTTTGCAAATTTCAGATTTTTTTGTCATCTGTTTAGCCTCACTGCCCATTTCAGCTTGTTTTGCTACATTTCAGCTGCTTTCAGCAAATTTCAGCTGTTCAAATTCAGCTTACATCAACAGTTTAGACAAAACCTTTTCAGCTGCGTTCAGCTTCTTCAGCTGCATTCTGACAGAACATGCAGCTTCTCCAGTTTGTTTATTTATAGAGAGCAGGCCATGATGTTAAAACCCAGCTGTTAACGGTTGTTGTTGTTGTTTGTTTGTTTTTACTCCTCAGGACCTCGTTAAGGTTCACAAGTGTTTACTGCTGGAAATCAAAGAGTCGATCCACCAAAGAAGTGCCCAGAACCTTTTCCAGATCTTCATCACGTTCAAGGAGAGGTGCAGGAGCTCACCTGGTTTTAGGGGTTTTATTTTAATACAGTGCTTTTTTTAAAGCACTGCATGATTTCTCGGGCGTAAACACGTCTTTAGTAACCGAACATTTGTGAACTTAAGTTCCCATTTTTAACCTTCGGGTTTGATGCGATGCAGGTTGTTGATCTATGGGAAGTACTGCAGCCACGTGGAGACGGCCATCTCCTCCCTGGACGACATCTGCAGACACAGAGAGGACGTCCGCATGAAGCTGGAGGTACACACTTCCCGTCTGAGCGAACGGCGCTCTCCGGTGGGGGAACCGTGCAGGAGGAGACGGGATGACTAAAATATACACGTGGTCTGCGGTTGTGAGGCTGTTTGGAAGTTCTGCTGAATTCTCAGCTCGTGGATGTTCCTGCAGTCAGCATGCTACCAGCACGCTCCCTCAAAACATCTGTGGCACCGTGCTGCGTGATAAAACTGCATTTAATCGTGGCCTCTTATTGTGGTCAGCCTAAGGCTCACCTGTGCAATAACCTGCTCTGTTCAGCGTCTTGATACGCCACACCTGTGAGGTGGATGTAGGCATGTCGCGATGAACAATAAATCAATTAATCGCATCGTTTATCGGTTTTATTGTTTCTTCGTGTCTCTCTCTTTCTACTGAAGACACTGGATGACAAAAGACTCCGGTGTTCTTCACTGACGCCTCCCTTTCTCTTTAAAATCCATTTTAATCGTCCAAAATTGCGTTTTTGGACGATTAAAAGAAGCTAAGCTACGAGCTAAGCTAACAGGCCGACCTCGGGAATAAACGTTCGTCTTGTCAAAGCTCCAAAATTCACGTTTGAAACCCGTGCCTTCGTGTAAAAAGTTGTTTTCCTCTGCAAAAAGAAGCTGAGAACTTATTTACTGATTTTTTTTTTTTATTAAAAGCTTTGTGTGAAAAATGCTAAAGAGCTCAAACCAGACCGAGCGTCCGCCATTTTGAGAACCGACAAACAGGAAGGAGAGACAGCCCACGTCACGTCAAGGGGCCTCCCTCCCAATTTTCTTAAAGAGACACGCTGCTCGCTCCCTCACTATCCATCCTTTGGTTCACACAGCCTTATACTGCCATCCGGTGGTCGAAAAAAGATACACACAAAATTAACCACAACTACGTCTTAAATTTGACAATAATTACTAATTATTGTCAAATTTCAAACTATATTATCGTTTATCGCAATAATTTCTGAGACGATATCGTGACAGGCCTAGGTGGATGGATTATTTCGACAAACAAGTGCTCACCAACAGATTTACACACATCCTGTTGTGTACGTAGAATAAGTCTTTAGTGTTAAGTGCGTTTTAAACAAAAAGCTTTTTTACTCGAAGCCAGCGCGACGTTTTCTCCACAGGGTTCATGTTGGACGTGCAGGGTGTTGATTCGTTTCCCCCCTCTGTGTGCAGGAGTGCTCAAAGAGAGCCAATTATGGAAAGTTCACCCTGAGAGACCTGCTGGTGGTCCCGATGCAGCGGGTGCTGAAGTATCACCTCCTCCTGCAGGTAAATCTCTGCTGCTCCTTCGGCTGCCGTCTACACGTCGCCCCAAAACGCTGAACGATGCTGGAATAGTAACTCCTCTCATAGCATTAATCCAAGCTGAGATTATCCGATGATGGAGGGCTGGAGATATTGTGTGCTCGGATTATGTGATGAGGAGGACTCTCAGCTACTACCACGTCTAATTTCAGCTCATCATCTCTGCATTTGGCCGAGTTGGAGCCATTTTTGCTAAAGTTGATCCTATGTGAGCTGTAGACGTCCTTCCAGTGATAACTTTCAGATTTTTAAGAAAACGAGATATTTTGCTAACAGACACGAGCATACACAACGCCCTTTAGCCTCGGGTGTGAGTGCACATTTCAGAGCAGATTCTAACCCACCCCTACGCGCACACACACACACACACACACACACACACACCGGTGTAATGGAGCTGCATGTTTTTCCTCCTGAACCCCCCTCCGAGCTCCGCTCCACGTGTTGCCTTCAGGTGACGCCGGATTAACGAGCTTTAAGGACGACTGAGTGAACGTGTGAGTTTTTATCATCCAGTCAAAGCAGCCAGGCTTCAGGAAGCTGCCGTGTCTCCGTTCGTCCACCAGAGGCAGCGTTGACCGTGTTTTACGTCCTCTCTTCCGTCCGCAGGGACGCTTTCTGTCTCTTCGTGCAGAACCGTCCCCTGATCCGGACCGTCGGTGTCAAACAGACTCACCGAACGGTTCTTACCGTCTCGAACCGTTTCCCTAAAATCATTCAAATGATGCACTTTAATTTGCTTCTTCACCTTCTGTGTTCCTCCACAGCGAGCTGTCGAAGTACTACTAAGATTATTACTATGGTTTGTTTTTAGGTGGGGGTGCATCTTTTTACACAAATCAACCACTTTAAAGATGCAAACTAGAGAATTTTATTGCTAAAAAAGACTTTAAATGTTGTTTATATTCATTTGCATTAAAGTTATAAATGTTTTTCTTTCATTTTGAACACTGTCTTGTTTCTGACATCGCTTACCGTTTCTTTTTTAAACATATTTAATGAGAAAGGTGGATTTGAAAAAAAAAGCGGTGGCTCGTTGTCTCGCTCCGTCCTCATCGATGTCTCTGGATTTTGCTACATCCATGTTGACTCTGAGGCAGGTTCAGTCTGCTGATGGAAAACATCCCCACACCATGATGCTGCCACCACCGTGCTTCACTGTTGAGAGGCTTGCCTGGTTTGAGGAGTTGGATCCAGACCGACACCAGGAGCTACGAATAGAATCGGGCTGAAGTTCATTTGAACAGAGCGAGAAGCTGCCGTGGCCGCTGGAGTCACGGAACAGCTGAGGTCGTCTCCAAGGACCGGGGCTGATGAGTGGAGTGGCTGCAGCTGTGGAAGGTGGAGAGGGGACAGGTGGAGAGGGGACAGGTGGAGAGGGGTGTGGCGGGCGGCTCAGAAGTGAAGACAAGAATTACAAACAGGAAATAAATTATAATCAAAAGGAAATAAAGCTATTAATAAGCACAAAGGGTTATAAATAGCTAAAATACACAAATCCTGATTGAGTTCAAGCCGTTTACTCATTTTGCACAACATTTAACACAAATTTAAACAAATAAATTAAAAGGAAAAAAAAAAAATCACGATTTATACCAGGGCTATTTGATTGGTGGGCCACTTATTTAATTTATGATTCAGTGCAACAAAATAAACATTTAAAAGGTAACAGCATGATGTTAATGATGTTAAATGATGTTAATTGATGTTAATTGATGGGGCACAATACAAGTGGGCTAGCAAAAATGCTACTGACGTAGCGCGCTGATTTTTCCTGAATCAAAAAAATTCAACGTTTGGACGAACAATAGAAGCACAATTTACTTCAGACACAAGTAAACCTAATAGTTCATACTGTGTACTTCCATACTAATGCTAATATTTTGCACTGTACTTAAGGTGTAACTAATAAGCACTACATAATGTTTGAAGGTACTCGGTGTGAATTATGACATCAAACATAAAACGTTTTATTTTTAGTTGATTTATACCGAACGGTGCAGTTGTACTCCGGTAGTCGTCCTGGTTTTTTTATTGTTATGATGCAGTTCTGAAACGCAGGTATGCGCTCGATGTAAACAAACCACTTTATCTGCAGACTTTACTCCACAAATCTGAACGTAAACCCGCGGGTTGGACTTCTCCGTCCCAAACGTCTTCTCCGTTGACTTGTTTTCAGTCCCTTCGGCTGTTTTTTTTTTTTGTAAACAAACACACATTGTTGTTGCTGGCAGTACCTTTATTAAATGATTATGCTAAGGTTAATAAATAATGTGCGTCTTTGCTAAAACCTCACTGAATCCTCGTGTTCTTGCATACGATGCAGTGACTAAGAAAAGTCGCCTCAGCAGGAGCAAAGAGAATGTGTTGAGTCAACATGGCGGAGATCCCCGCGGAGCAGCTGGCTAACAGCTAGCTGCGCTGAATAAAACATCTGCTCGGGTCCGTCGTCGCTCGGTGACAGCCAGAATCTCCACAACTAATGCGTCGCTCCCGGACTCCCTCTCTCTCCTCTTCAGTTCTCTTCCTCCTGAACCAGCAGCGACACGGTTCCTTCATCTGGTCCATTCAACACCCCCCCCCGTATCTGTGTGGAGTTGGGAGCGAGGTTTGATAAATGGGCCTCTGTCGTCCTGGGAGTGATAATAATGTGAAGGTTTGGCTCGACTGACACCGAGGATTTGAGTCAGTGTACGGTATATCTCCCCCGTGCATGCGTGTCCCCCGTCCTTATCCGCCCCCCGCCCGGGTCTAGTCGTCTTGTTGGCTCTGCCGAATAATTTCAGATACAGTATCTGATTTATTTCAGGACAACGTGGCTTTTTTCAGCCGCCTTTCCATATTTGGAGTGGAAAGCTTTCCCTGCGCGTGCGCGGAGCTTTCACAGCAGGAAGTTTGTCCACGTTTCTTCTGTTAGGCTTTTATTTTGAAATGTTTTTCTGTCCAACAGGAGCTGGTGAAGCACACGCATGACGCCTCCGACAAGAGCAACCTCAGGACCGCGCTGGACGCCATGAAGGTGAGCTTGATGTCGGATTCATCCATCCATCCGTCCGTCCATCCATCCATCCTTCCTTCTTACCTACCTACCATCCATCCACCCATCCTTCCTTCTTTCCTACCTACCTACCATCCATCCACCCATCCTTCCTTCTTTCCTACCTACCTACCATCCATCCTTCCTTCATTCTTTCCTACCTACCAT